CTGAGAACAAGCCCGACACCGGTGTAGGAACCAGGATCCAAGGGAGTCAAAACAGACCCAAGCTCAGGCTGTGGAGGCTGTGAAAACGACTAACGCTGCCCTTGACTCTGGCCTAGAAAGCGCTGGGAAGACCGAGGCTGCTGCCTCTGAGCCTACTGAAACGGCTGAGTAGTCTGAGGCTCTCGCTGAGAATGAGAACGTCGGTGAATCTCAGGAGATCGTCTACCACGACCAAGCTCCTCCTCGTCCGAGCCACTGTGCCTCGAGCGCGAGCGGGACCTCCGTTGCTCCTGGAAGATACAAAATGAAAAGGTGTCAACAGTGCAAAATAAAACAAAATGGTAGAAGTAAAAAAAATGAATGATACCTCAAGAACGTCGCTAGAGCTCCGACAACTCGCACCACGCCGAAGCTTGATGATGCAGTACTTCAGGGCATCAACCAGTTTCATGAGTCCCATCATCTCCGGGCGGTTAGGCTGAGGATAAAGCAAAGAAAAGTCAGTAACAAGCGGTGTTAAAAGGATGAATAATGCATCAAAAAAAAAAAAAACTTAGCGGCTCAAAGACCTCGGGCAGAGACTTCTGCGCCTGTCTGTAACCCTTTGGCGCGTCAGCAATATGGTCCTCGGTGATACCAATCGGCCCTGGATAGCGGACAGACTGAGGAGGAATCTCGATCCTCCCCACAGGGCGAATAGTCGTCTGAAAATATGATCGAATAATCAAGTTATTCGACTATTTAAAACAGAGACTAGTAACGAAGATCCTCAAAATAAATCATACCTCAGGAAGACGGGGTGGAGGAGCCAGAGAAGGAAGCAAGTCCCGCGCATAATCACTCTTCATGTGCACAAGCTCCTGCCATGGAAAAGTATAGCTCTCTCCCCTGTTTATCAACTCTCTGATCAAGCGTGAGTCCAGCATCGACTCTGGTAGAGACGAGGGCACGACAAAGCGATTACCGCCATTCTGACGAACGACTCGCTCCCCCAAATACCAGACAAAGCGTCCGGTACCAACCAAAATGGTGCGGTGCGCTGAAAGACGCAAGGCCTCAGGTAGATCAGTCATCCCGGCCCAAGGACGATACTGAACATCAATAGCAACCTGAAAACCATAAAAAGTTGGCGTGAAACAACAGAAACAATGTCAGAGGGAAAATAATAGGCAACAAGACTGATTCTTACGCCGACAGAAGAGGTGCCTCGGCGTAGCAGCCCACGCAACGCAGGGACAGACTCCACCCGCGACTCTCCTCGATCACGCCAGCTGGCCCCGACAGGGAAATCATGGACCGCTCCACGTCGCCGGCGAGGAGCCAAGCTTGGAAAGTACTCGTAGAACCATATCTGCAATGAAAAGTAATCTTTAGCACATGAGTCGAACAAGTTAAAGTGAAACAAAAGAGGAAAAGATCATCACCTATACAACTCTCCACAGACCATAGACAGTGATCGGAGACTCGTCGTTCAGCTGCCGACAGCCATGACGTAGCGATAAGAGAAGGTCGGCGTATCCGAGGCTGGCCCAGCTATAGGATCCTATCTCATGGATCCTGACCAAAGAGGGGAGATAGCAAAGGAGTACTTGTGAACTCCTATCAGGAGAAAGGGTCATGGAGACCAGAATCAGGATGAAGATCCGCACCCGCTGCTCAGCCGATGTATCCTCCATGTCAAAGCCACGAGCTATAACTGAAGCCAGCTCCGATCGCCTGCTCTTAGGACCACCTCAAGACACAGGTCGGGTCCTGATATACTGAACGATCAGACCTAACAAATCAGCTGCCTTAGCCGATCCCCAAGACAGATCAGACATCTGAGCTACAGCCCGGTCGGTGAAGCGCAGCCTGCTAATCATACTGAAGTCTAGAGGGGTCACCGTCATCTCCCCCCAAGCAAAATGAAAAGTGTTGGTAGTAATCCAGAAATACTCCAACAATGCGCGAACGATCGTCGCACCGCAACCCCGGCTGCGAAACCCTACAACCGCCGTATAGAAATCTACTAAACCAACCGATTCCCATAGGGAGTTCGTAGCAGGATCCCTCGTAATGATCTGGTGAAGTAGAGGGATCAAATCGCCGACTCCAGAACCGTGGTGGCGAAGCGTGCCATCGACTATGCCGGAGAGTGGGCGATGAGAAACATGGTTTTCACGGCAGAAAACCAACTGGTCTGGAGTCCACGGAGGTGGAACCCACCTACCTCTACTCGTGGAAGCCCGAGGCTCAGACTCCAAGGCATCGTCGTCCATCCCCTCAGGAATAGTGGGAGTGTCCTCCGAAAAGCCCGACGCCGACCGTGGGTAGAAAGATCGCAATTCCGTCGCCTAGGCATGCTATTATAAAAATCTAAATGCTTAGCATCATTTCCTAAGACATTTAATTCAAGTTGCATTTTTATAAAAATAAAAATCTAAATACTTAGCATCATTTCCTAAGTTATTTAGTTATTTATCGAATTATGCGCTAAATTTTTACCTCCAAGCTAAAAATTGGCGAAATTATAGTATTTAGTTTCAGCCGCATGATACTATGTTCTCCATGACAATATAGTACATACGCAAAATATGTTTCGAAGTTGCACAAAAACAATGAATCAACACATCATGAAATATTTCACAAGGTTTACCACCATTTTTTCACCATTTCAAGTGCAAAGAAGTAACATGAACATCATTTCACAAAAGTAGTACCCAAAAATGGTGATTTGCTCAATTCTCCATCAAACCATGCAATTTTTGTCTCAAATTTCTGACAAACACACATACATACATATACAAGTAAAATCATGGCAAGAATTTCAACATAAAACCTCAAAATCAAAAATCCCCAAATTGATATTTAAGGGTTTTTCATGAAATTACTTATTTGAAGCAAATTCGAGACAAGAATCAAAGGAAACTTACATAGATCATTGTAGAGGTTCAAATATGAGGAATATGGCAAAAATTTGGAGCAAATTCGGTGGAAAATCGAGCAGCAAAAGCTCGAAAAAAACTCTGGCCACCAGCTGACCGCCGCGACACGGTCAAATAAAGCCGTGACACGGCGAGGCCGTCCCGTGTCACGGTGAGCTTAAGAGGAGACGGAGCTCCGGTGACTATGACGGCAACCTCAGGCGGTAAACAGCAACAGCAGTAGGCAGCAGCGAAAAACAGCAACAGCAAGTCGCGAAAAAAATAAAAAAAAAGAAAGAGGAAGCAAACCGCCGCGACACGGTGGTGAAAGCCGGCCGACGGGAAGAAAAACCGAGCGCCGGTGAGCGGTCGACGAGGCACAGCAAACCAAAAAAAAAAATTTGAGTTGTTTGGATGAGAATCGGACGAGGAAAAGAATGAGCAAAATGGGAAAGTGTTTGGTATTTAAAACATAAAAATCCTGTGCAACGGACCCCGTTCCCACGTAACGGTCAGATTGTTGTGTGGTGCACAAGCTTTGACCGGTCAAAGATGCTTTTTTTACCGTTTTTTCAGCCACTTGATTCCCGCGACACGGGACCCCCTTGTCGTGTCACGGGAAGCAGCTCCGCGTGACGAGGGGCCTTTGCCGTGTCACGGGAATGTTTTTTGTGACACGGCGGTTTTTGTACAGTTATTTGCGAATATTCTGACATTTTGGCTAAGGTTGTACGTTTTTTTTTATTTGCATAAATTGGACTGTTATTTTCGCTGGAATTACGCGGAAAATTGTAATTGATACTTAAAGGGGACTAAAATTACCATTTTACCCCTAGAATGCATCAAAGTCTATTTTTCGGCATTTTAAGCACCTAATATGCTCGGATAATCGACTTAAAATTGTGAATCATCTGCGGCCCACGTTCGGGGATAATCGAACCATCGTACACTTACAAATTTCAGCAATCGTCGGCTTTCCTCAGGCTTGGAAAGCATTATCGGTGGATTTTTCTTTAAGTACAGAAAACCACCAAGTCGGCTTTCCTCAGGCTTGGAAAGCGTTATCGGTGGATTTTTCTTCAAGTATAGAAAACCGCCAAGTCGGCTTTCCTCAGGCTTGGAAACCATTATCGGTGGATTTTTTCTTCAAGTATAGAAAACCGCCAAGTCGGCTTTCCTCAGGCATGGAAAGCGTTATCGATGGATTTTTTCTTCAAGTATAGAAAACCGCCAAATTCCTTTGTCGGCTTTCCTTAAGTATGGAAGGCATTATCGGTGAAATTCTTCAAGCATGACACCAAATTCATACGTCGACTTTACTCAAGCATGGAAAGTGTCATCCGGTAGGTTTCTTCAGCCTTAGAAAACTACCAAATTCTTCAGTCGGTTTTCCTCAAGCATGGAAAGCGTTTCAACAAATGTCACTCGGTGGATTCCTTCAAGCTTAGGAAGCTACCAAATCCGTTTGTCACCAATACACTGGTGTCAGATACGTATTCTATCCTTTTACTCTTTTATCTGTAGAACTAACATTTTTCTGCAGGTATCGGCGTATACAGTGCGATTTAGGATCGCAGAATGTCTTAAATCATTCTCCGTCCCTATCGGTTACTTTGACTATCGTTTTCGAAACTGACGTTTCTACAAACTCAGTCAAAGTGGGGGCTTCTGTAGACATCTAAAAATGTCTCCCCAAAACCAAACCCGATGATGAACAACCTATACCCTGACTTTGCTGTGTAAACACCGTTCACAGTTTCACCCCATAGAATCTCATCATCCATCTCCTAGTTCGGGTGGATCGAAAGGATGTGCTTTACATCTTCTGTTTTGAAGAGCTTCCAAATTACCCCCATTTTCCATTCACCTCTCTCGTTCATCAAATCAGAGACTTTCCCATACACACTCCTGTCCTCCTCACTGACCCCCTCTTTAAAGCACACCTTCCCAGCAGTAGTCCACCTATCCCCCTCAATGGTCACTTCACTACCCCTTCCTACCTTGTACCAAAAGCCCTCTTTCATTTTTGCTGCTGTTTTAGACATTCCTTTAAAAGCCCAAGAGCATCAACCCAGGCACCTATTCCTGGAACCCTTCTCAATTAGAGAGACCATATCTACCAACAATGAGTCTGCTCATCAACGTATTCCTATTGTCATGAACTTTCCAAGCCTGTTTGAGCACCATTGCTTGTTTAAGTTTTTGCACATTTCTCAAACCAAGACCACCCTCCGATTTATGTCTTTCCAACACCTCTCTCTTCCTCCAGTATATAGGTCTCTTATCCTTCACTCCTTCCCAGAATAACTTCAGACACATAGAGCTAATTTTCCCCAAGATCTTCCTTGGTAACAGGTAAAGAGCTAAGATGTGCGTTGCTATAGCCACAAGGACTGAATTAATCAAAAGGAGCCTCCAAGCCTGAGATAGAGCATCAAACTTCCACGACTAAATTTTATTCGAGATCTTCTCCACCAGATATTCGAATTGGGACTAACTTTTTCCATCCACATCCATAGGGCATCCTAAGTAAGCTCCAAGCGAGCATTTGCTTGCCATTCCTAAGGTTTTCCTGAGGATTCTCACAAATGTGGAGGGAGTGTTCGGGCTAAACATGACAAATGATTTCTTTGCACTGACCACCTCTCTTGATACAACACAAAACTCATCCTGAGCCTTCCTCAAATCCCTGCATACTTCCATACTTGGCTTGAAAAATAGGAGCGCATCATCAACAAGAAATAAGTGTGAAATGGCTGGGCATCTTCTACCAGCTTTGATACATGTGATCCTCCCCTGGCCCTTCACCCATTCTAGCTTCCTTGACAAGATCTCCATGCACAAGATGAATAGATAGGGGGAAAGAGGATCTCCTTGACGTAAGCCTGCCCTCAGATAAAACCATTATGTCTGATCACCATTCACAAGAACTGCATAACTGACTGTCTTGATGCATTGGCTAATCCAATGTATCCAATTCTCCGAAAAATTCATTGCTCTTAGGATGTCAATGATAAAATCCCATCTCACCCTATCGTAGGCTTTATTCAGATCTACCTTAATCACCCCTACAAAATTCCCATCTTTCTTCCTCCTGCTTTTAACATACTGAATAAGCTCATAGCCCATTAAAGCACTATCAGTCATCAACCTCCCTGGAACAAAAGCATTTTGAAATTCGCCAACTAAATCCTGCAGAATAGTCTTCAATATGTTCACCAAACACTTTGAAATCACTTTGTATATGGTGTTACAAAGCCCAATCGGTCTGAACAACTTCCCTTTGTTGGCATTTTCCTCCTTCGGGACCAGGCAAATGAACGTTTTATTCCATTCTTTCAGTAATTACCCTCTAGTAAAAAAGCTATTTAATGCCAAGTAAATATCTTCACCCATTATATTCCAACATTTTTAGAAAACTACAGGAGGACATCCATCTGGTCCTGGCTCATAGGTTTCATATCAAAGACCGCCTTTTTCACATCCTCCCTGGTGAATTCCCCCTCTAGGATGGAAAGATGAGACTGAGAGAGTTGAGGTAGGTGTTGCAACCAATTTGCACTTAAAGCTGGAAGGCCCTCCCTGTCACCCGAGTTCTGCTGCTTTCCTTCTCCCTAGTAGATACTCTTGAAATGGCCAACAAATTCTTGTTTAATCCTTGCTTGATCTGCACACCAATCTTGACCCTCCAATTGCAAAGCTCTAATTTAATTCTTCAATTTTCTCCCTTTGACTGCTCTGTAGAAGAAAGAAGTTGACCTATCCCCTAGGTGATCCCATTTACCTTTTGCCCTTTGCCTCTAGAACGCGCTTTTGATTTCCACTTCCTCCTCCAACTGCTTCCTCAAACTCTTCTCTTGCTCTACACCGTCCCTTGTCATATCGTTCGATTAAAGGCTCGCCAATGAATCACTAATCTGCTCCCAGTTAATTTTTTGCTTATCTCTGAAATTCAAGCACCAGGTTCTTAACTCACCACAAACTGCTTTGATTCTCTGCTGGAGAGAGTACATTCTTGAGCCTCTAAATTTCTTTTTCCAAGCACCGCCAGCGATTACCTGATGAGCTTCCAAAAAATTCAAATCCCACGCTTCCATCTTATATGGTCTTCTAACTCGGGAAATTTTAGACGGATTTGAATCGAAAAGGATTGGCCCATGATATGAGATGAATATGGGGAAATTCCAAACAATAGATTCCGGGCAAAGGTCCTTGTAAGCCACATTACAATATGCCCTATCCAAACGCTCCAAAATATTTTGCTCGCCCATTCTGTTATTGGTCCAAGTGAAGTTCACCCCGTTATAAGAGATATCCATAAGACCACGGTGGACTCTCTGACGAGGGTTAAATCGGTCGCTACAATCTAACTCTCAATCAAACAATACTTATACGAACACCCTATAACCAAGTACAATGGCAAATAAAGGTTCGGTCCACGAGGAACGAGAGTAATTGCAAATCAATCTTAAACCTAAGCTAGTTCGAAATCAATGGAAAATGGTGTTCTAAAATACTACTAATAAGATGGAATAAATCAATAAACTAAGACACTAGGGAGAACGGGAATTCACCAAACCATCGGTAACTACGCAACAAGGAATCACAGAGACAAACGGGATATGCAAAGACTATATGTCTGATCAATATCATGTGATAGGAAGACAACGGGCAATACTAAGCTTGGATTTCTCATGCACTTAACATTACTCGATACATAATCAAACCACATTCAATAATGAAATACTCAATTCACAATATCTTGTTCAAATCAAGGATATCATGCAATCAAATTCAAGATTCTAGGTTAGCTACTCCTATTATAATGAATTAACATGCAATCGCATATAATCAATTTAATCACAATTCATTTATCAAAATCAATCCTCAATTACATAGATTACCTAGGCCGGGTTTCATCCCGAAACCCTAGCTAGGAGACTACTCACACATATTCATAATCAAAGCAATAATGAATTCCAAAAGCATAATAGATATAAACATGAATTCTGATTAAGGAATAATAAAGCTTGATTAATAAACAAGAATGAATAATACCAATTGTATTGATGCGAATCAATGGAAAAGTTCAGAACTTTGATATCCGTCGTCAATGAATAATACAAAGAATCTTCGCAAATCTTGCTTCAAATCAATCCAAGAAAACTAAAATCGCTAGAAAATTCTCTAAGAAAACTAATGAATCTCTAATACTAAGAACGTTCTCCAATAACTCTCTACAAAGGCTCTCAAAACTATCTCTAAAACTATCCTCGGAATCCTCTTAAAGTTGGGTCTTATATACGTCTTCTAATGCGGAGAAGTCAAGCGCGCAGTTAACCCTAGATCAGCACGACCGTGCTGTATTTGGCACGGCCGTGCTAGCTTGTCAGTAAGTAAACCGGGTTTCTTCTTCAAATTGGCACGGCCGTGCTATATATGGCACGGCCGTGCAGCTTCCTGGCACGGCCGTGCTAAAAATGACACGGTCGTGCTGAATATGCTCTAGCACGGGGCTCATACTGAAGCTGACACGGGCACGGGCAACATCTGGCACGGCCGTGCTAATGGCCTGCACGGCCGTGCTGGTGCGTGGATACTGACACGGCCGTGCTATAGGCTTGCACGGCCGTGCTGCCTTGCCTGGGGTTGCTTTCTTATAGGCCAGCACGGGTGTGCCTATGGTAACACGGCCGTGCTGCCTGTGCTATGTAATCAATGCACGACACTTGAACTTCCTTAACTCCTCGGACTCCGGTCAAGGCTAGATCGGTTACGCATCAAGGGCTCGGGATCCGATTAAACTCGGTTGATATTACCTGAAAACACATCAAAAACAAACTGAAAACCCGTGAAGCACGTAATATGGGGAACGTAAGCATAACAAGGTAATAATCGGCCAAAGCGGCCCCAAATACATCCAAAATCATCCTAAAATATGCTCTAAAGCGCGCCCTAAAGTGCGCTTGTCAAAACCCCCCAAGCTACACTTTTGCTAGTCCTCGAGCAAAAACCAAGGGAAACACACACAAGATCAAATAAACTATGCCATTGCGAACAAATCAAATTAAGCACGGAATGAAATCAATGGATCCTACTTAGAACAACCATGCACGGAAGGAAAACTCACTCAAACAAGCAACGAGACACACAATCCAAGATATCGTTGATCAAAATGCGAACAAGACCTAAACCAAGCATAGAGAACAAAGAAATCATGCTTCCCTCTAAACCCGACCAAATCGGCCACGTCCTCCCCTTTTGCTTCAAATCACCACCCTAATTGGCCCCTCGTGATTCCTCGAAGGAACCGGAAGAAGTGATGTTTTGAGGAAATAACAAAGGTATCCCAACATCTCGATTACGCATAATCTTTCCATAGGGTTGAAAGGTATCTCCCTCCACCGTTTGAGAACCGAACACCTCTAAAGTTTAAGGGTCTTAAAAGGGTTGTAATGTATTGGCAATGGGTAAGGTAGGTCAAAAACAATAGTTCAAAAGATGTAATTCACTTTCCACAATCTCATTGATTCACATTCTTACACATCCCAAATTATCCATATAATACACACTCAAATGACCTCTTTCAAACTTCAAAACTTTATTTATGTGTCCTTGCCTTTTTCACAATTCGGACGGCTTTTCTCTTCTTTTTTTTTTTCTTTTTTTTTATTGATGGCAAAATGACTTTCACATTACATATTTACAATTAGGCTCACTTTCACACCTGCTCAAACCAACTATCAAACTTTATTTCTTGATTAGTAAACAATAAGCTCAACAAACCTATCTAGGTAAACGCTTCACAACTAAGGGTTGGTAAAACATTGGCCATCGGGTTTGTAACACGGTTAACCAAGAATGGAATTAAAGCTCAACATGGTTAGCAAGTAAGATGATGTAAAAAGAAAATCAATTTGTAACAAAACAAAAGGAACAAAATAAGAAAAATGAAAAAGGTGCCCTCTTCCTCCCTTAAAAGTGTCAAGTCGGTCTCGGGAGCTACTAGTCAACACAAAGATCGAAAAATGCGTAATCAAGGATCCAAATATGCCACTCAACAAGAATGATGAAGGCTAGAACAAATAAACCTCACGGGATCTAACAAATAAAGCAACTACCAATCAAGGGGGTCAAATCCACAACCGGGAAGCGACTCCATCTTACCACAGCCCAAAGGCATAGAGTTTAACATGACAAAAGTTTTCTATTTCTACCCTTCGCCTAGACTCGTCCACATTGATCAACAATAGACTCGAACTGTGTATTCATCACTGGCTTAAGTGGAAATAGACATTCCATACACATTCATTCACATTTCGAATCCAACATGAACAATATTCCAAAATTTTGCAATTAGACAAGTTTATTATGATCCAAAAACATAGGAAAAGACTACGAGGCATATCATATAAGCTAAACCACACATCCTCATAGCAGAAGCTTTTCCTATCTAACACAAACATATGTACAACTAAGCCAACTGAATAAGTTGAAAGGCACATAACGAGGCATAAAAATCACATAAAATCCCAATCGACAAACAAGTGATCGAATGATATCAACATCAACGATCCCAGGTTCCTTAGAACCGATCAAACATCCTCGAACCATTCAACTTCTTCCTAAACTAAACTATCCTAAGCACACAAAAAAAGAAAAGATCTCACCAAATTTGCTTCCCGGGAGCTCCAATTAACGACCATAGCATCGTTCTTCAAACTCGTGCCGCGTCTCGAATGTTCCCAATCTGCAAAAAGGAAAGACATACTAGCAAACAAGTTAAGGTTAGTCTAGGAAAGCAGTAAATCTTTTTATTTTATTTTTTTTATTTTTTA